TCCGTCTTCACTAGAGCCTTTAGCGTCTTGTACTTTTCAGTACGCGCTAGCTCCTCAAACATGGTCTTGAGCTGATTGATCATATCAAACACGCTCTCCCCCTCAAACTGCCTCTGCAAATTCAGGGCCATGCTTCCCAACATGAGACATGAGATCTCGATGTCGTCAGTCTGATGCTTCAACCAAGCATCCTTGACGGCTCTCGTGGCATTGGCTGCAGGCTCTGGTGGTAGAGCCCCTTCCAGGACGTACGACTTCTTATCTGCTTGAGAACAATTCTCAAGTTCCGATACCAGTCTAAGAAGTTCGTCTCAGTCAGCTTATCCTTCTTAAGGATAGATCGCATTGTCAAACTCGGTACGCTACCGGTTGACGCCATGTCCTACAAAAAAGACAAACAGAACATACAAAAACAATACAGATTCTATTAATGATCAACTACCAGCTAGCCCATCATCAATCAGTGTCTACATATCTATGATCTACTACCAGCTAGTCCATCATCAAACAATGACAACACAGATGAAAAATTAGCTATATTCCCATACAGAAAAATAACCCTATAATAATTTTCTATATGGGACTAAGATCCATATTTCGCATAAGAATGGACTGTTACACCCATCTTTATGCTATTTAGGTAGACATCTAACGTCAATCACATCCAATGTGACTCTCAGATCCTTTTATGAGACTATGATATCAAATATCATTGCATACTCGTCTCATCTGTACCGTTAAGTCCCAAGTCAAAACTTGACAACTTAATCTAAGGTAAACCATGTTCAAGCTGTGAGAACCACGATTTCCCACCCTGCCTCACAAAGATAATCCGACACGCTCAGCTTTGGCATGACCCATGTTACGGACGATTGATGCCTTGACAGACGCTCTAATAATGGGAGGTACACGCTTAGCACTACATAAACAAGGGATTTTCGAAACCGCACCTAGATCAAGCATCTACTTTCAAGCTATGAGAACCACCATTTCTCCATCTTGCCTCACCAAGATAGCACGGCACACCCAGCTTTGGCATGGCCCATGACACGTACGATCGAGGCCTTGACAAGTGCTTTACTCGTAGAGCTTCTAGATCTAATCGGTTTCTGTGCAACGATTGTTCATAATCCGAATGCACAATCCAATCGATTATGCAATCCCAATCCCGAAGCTCCCACTCAATCAAACATCTATAATATCTTGATTAAGTTACATGCATTCATTCACTATGGACCATCCATAAGAGAGAATCATGTTATTATGAATCAGAGTTGATCGGTTTTAAGCAACGATTGCTCAAACCAGATCCTGAAACGCTAAATCAAATTTTGGTGAAGCGTCGGGTCCTA